CCTGTGCTAAGGGAAGAAGGAAGGTCACTTGTAGAATTTTAGGCCCTGGGAGGAGGAAGAGCAGGTGTACAGGATCCCTGCTATCCCCCTACAAAGTAATGAGTGGTGCTGCCTCAACCTCCTCAAAAGGATAATTTGGACTATAACTAAAGTCTGGGTGAGCATTTAGGGGTTCTGGTCCATATTCAATGCTCTTTCCACTACTATTAATACATTTGTCGGAAACACCAATAAACTGAGCTTGAATTTTAAAAAGGAAGAAATAATGGCAATAAGGGACAAAACTAACTAGACCAAAATGAGATTCCTAAGGTAGGGGAAGGCTGTAGAAGAAAAGCAAAACAGTCATTAATAACATGATGGCATTACAGCCAAACTCTAAGATATGAGTTTCACTGATTTTGAATATTTATCAATATTACAATGATTAAACTAGTCTCTACACTGATTTTGTTTTTATTTTTATTTTTTTTTTACAATCTCAGGCAATCAAGTTGTATAATGTTCTGGCTGCATGATTAGCTAATTGATGCATATTTCATTGATTTAGCAGCATTTATCACTTGGTAATAAAATTTAGTTTAATTATTAAAGTATCAACTGAATGTTTTATTTCCTCTCTGCTGCATATTTTAACCCAGGTGCGTATTTTCTCTTTCACATTAAAGAGCTAACGTAACCCTGAGATCTTGCCGTTTCAGCAAAGCTAGTTCTTTTTCAAAATGAAATATCTAAGAAAAGTTGAGATTCCATAGAAAAAAAAAAGGTTAGATATGAAAAGTTTCAAATTCTGGCTCTCTTACAAAGAAGAGCTGTTAAGACTAAGAGAGAGGGGAGAGTTCTGAAAGATGGCTCTCAGAACAGTAAACCCTCACGGCAAGCTTTGGTGCTTATATAAATCCTCACACCAACCACCCGTGAAACATCGATTGGTCACCCTGATGTCTCATGCATTGCGGGGAAGCCTCAGAGATAAGGAGATGAGGGGTCTGGTCTATAATCTCGAGAAGCCCATATTTAAAGTGTGTGTGTGTCAGTTGGAAGAAATTCGGGAAAGATACAGTGAGCACTGCACCAGTGCTGGCTGCTAACCCTATTGTTATGCCCACCAATTGGTGAATCACTGATGAACACGTGAGCTATTTGGTCCAGGGAAGGGACAAGAGAGAAACACACACTGCAATGACCAAGAAGAAAGTGACATGTATTTTAACAAAAGTACAGAAATAGAACAAGGAGAGCTTAAGTCACAGGCCTATGGGAAGGGACTAACAAAGGCATTCAAAGTGGGCTTTGGCAATCAGGTGGGGTTTGCATTTGTAAAGACAGGGAAAGGGACAGGGAAGGCCAGTGTTAGGGAAGTATGTGATTGGCAAAGAGTCTGGTTTGGCTGAAGAGTAAGATTCAAGAGGAAAAATGAGAAGTTCAGGGAGAAAATTGGAGGGAGGAAAGGAGAGAGGGAGATGGTAGAAAGCCATGAGTGACATGAGACCATATTTGTGTCTTACTTGCACAGCCAAGGGGAGTCTCTGCAGGTTTTGGACAGGAGATCAGGAGTTCATGATGAAGCAGTGAGTGTTGGCCAGACATGGGAGTGACACGTAGCCTACCTCCCGTGGAGCCCAGTCTGTGTGATGTTCCCTTCCTCTCCCCTCTCATCAACCTCTTGCTCATCCACCTTTGCTCAGGAGCTGTTGCAGGGACAGAAGGTAAAAGTCAGACCATAATTAGAAGAAACTGTCAGTGGTGAGTGCTGGCAGAGACAGGGAGAAGGGAGAGGTCAGGAAGCCAAAAGGTTGAAAGCCAATAACTTTATGAAAAAAAATCTCAATTCTCACATTTGTCAAAGACTTACAAATTAAAACCAGTTAATGTCATCTCCAACCGATTGCCAAAATTAAAGTCTGGCGTCACTACATTCACCACCTGTGGTGAGTGTGAATTGCAACAAGCCATTTGGAAAGCAGTTTTGAATATCTAGGAAAGTTGAATAAACCTCTTTCTTTCTGTCCCAGCAATTTCATTGGCCATAGAATCTATGATGTTGTGCTTCTTAAGCTTGGTGTTATTATTATTGTGTTATTATTCTCACCTTTTTTCTATATCTGAAATAGTTTATCATGCATTTTAAAGACAATCATACTGTTACTCTTGTCCTAGTCCTTCATCCTGCAGGTATTACCGGATTTACCCCAGTCCTTTCTTCTCACTTAGAGCAGCCCCTCTGATATTAATCCTTGAATACTTTCCAAGTTCCCACGAAAAACTGATTTGTCGTGATGACTAGCCACAGAACTTAAAATTAGAACATATGTCAATAACTAACCCATGAGAGCATACGACATACCAGACACTAAATGTTTTCTTGTGTTAATTCTTGCATCAACTTCTGAAAAATTCCCTGGTATCAGCTCTTTTAATTCTCACAACAGCGTAAAGAGGTAGAGTACCATTACCTCCACTTACGAAGGAGGAAACTGAGATGCAGACAGGTGCTAGGTAGAGGAGGCGGTCTTCACACCCTGGCTGTCTTGCTCCCAGATCTGCACCAGTAACCACCTCGCTGACATTTCTGCTGTACCGTGGCCAAGTGGAGGGCAGACACGTTGCCAGGGTCACTCAAACCAGAGTCAGTTGGGATTGGTTAGAAATGAGATACCTGCGTTAGACCTGGGAGCCACTTCCACTGGCTGCATTCTCCGGAACGTTTTTCTGGTTCCCACAGGCAGTTTGTTTATTTCCAGTTGTTTCCTTCCTCCTACCAAACAATGGTTTAATGTTGTCAGCATTGTTGTGAAGTACTTGGAGCCTCTATAGCATGCAACAGCCATTTCCAAATTCAGAGTACTTTTCATTTACTGAATAATGCATCTTTAATTACTGGCCAACTTAAGCTGGCTTTCAAAGAGTGAAACTGTTTATTGCCAGCTGTATCCCACAATCATAGACAAGAATAGAGTTTTATATTATTTTATTTTTTGGTAATTCGAGCCCTCTTTCAGAGAGGAGTACGTAGCTTCCCTAACACTTGTACTTCAAACAGATGAATTGCTTCCCAGCCTGGAGAGCAGCCAACTCTCTGAATTGACATGTTCACTGAATAATAAATTGCATGTAAGGGAATGGTGCCAGATGCAAGAGGTTTTGATAAAAGGGCATTTGAACTCTATAAATGATACAAAATATTTCACTTCTCAAGAAATTTTAATAAATTGTTGAATAAAAGACTCTATGAGAAAGGTTTTGTGCTTGATTCAGCTTCTGCTACGCATTTCAGAGAACAGATTATTCTGACAGTATGTCAGTAGTAGGCTAGACGTCAGATAAATACATGTGAACTACGTCTAGTGGCTGAGCTATCCACCCCCCATCTGAAATATCATACACACCGTAGAGATTCTTTGAGTGCTAGCACTGGACTGGTGAGTCCACTGGATACTTCAGAAGCTAAGACTCACTGTTTTGTAAGTTCATGGCCTCGCTTTTCCTGATTGGGTTTGGATCAAACCTGCTTTTTTATCTGCATGCTTTTTGCATCTGACACTTGGGACACAGTGCAGATATTTCTGTGGGATTTCAATGCATTCACTCTGTTTGCACGGATCAAATGCATTCTCTTAGCCCTATTTTGAACTATTAAAAAACCTTGCACAGCACCTTAAAAGAACTATAGGGCATAGGATCTGTGCTGAGAAATAGCACATTCTTCATTTTTTCCTTCCTAAATGTGCTTTTCTTTAGAAACAACACCAATCTCCACAATTTTAAACAGACTTTCAGGACTTCAGAGGGAGAAAGGCAACAATCTCTTACTCTAAATGGTTGAATAAAATGTCAGGATGTTATGAACACTAAAGCCATTTTGATAATGTTATCATTTTTATGCAGGCCCTATCTAAATAGAATGTTATGACTATCCTTTTTAAAGGATGAAAACAAAAATTTAATCTTTTATTAAAATGCTGTATATACTTCTTCCAGCTGTCATTGCTTATTTTTCACGGTAGATGGTCATGTTCCTATGTCTGGATGGTTTTATTCCAAACAAGCAGTAATCTCAGTACATTCAGGCTCTTTAAATTAATAGATCAGGGCTCACAGCTGTACTCAGAGGTATATTTAGAAGACTTATCCTTTAACAGAGAATAGACGGTGGTACCATTGTCTTTAACACATTGCAAATGTATAAACCACAAGAGGTTTGGAAAATTTTAGAAGAAAAGTTTGGGCCAAACAACTTTGCATATTTAAATTTGACACAAACACAATCCCAGTATGCCATGTCTGTAGAGGATCAGAGCATGGATTATAAACAAGCTGTTCTAGAGACAAAAAGACTATTTCTAAATTGACTAGTCAACTGCAATTATCAATAAATTGTCTTCTGCCTTGAAAATCAACTAGGCTTGAATTTAGAGTCCTCCCAGTTTGATAAGGCCTTGGCTTTTCAGGCAAAAACCTTTCATGAGTTTCAAAGGAATTCTCTGTCTCTATTCTCCCCACCCAAGCTTCTTACTGTGGAGGTACAGTGAGCTGGGTTTCAGGGAGCTCTGAATAAACTTTTGGGGCTCACAGTACATGTGCACATTCTTATTCCCACTTCTGGGTCACTCACATTGTATATCCAAAACATGGGCTACCCATCCTCTGTGAGTTATCAAATAAATGCTAATTGTCTACATATACAATTGCACCTACGCATATGCAAACTCTATGTGCACCTGCACACACATGAAATTTTCGAGGAGTGAGGCTGCCCTTGGGTTTTGCGGAGCCCCTTTCAAGGCAGGGGATCTGTGTGGCAGACATGTATGCGGTGACTAAAGGGAGCTCTTTGCCACATACGGTTCCGGAGAGATACTTTTCAAGGTCACTCGCTGAGAATTAGGTCAGGTTCTAAAGCAGACGGTGGTGTTAGGATTGGCTGGCACGTGCAAATGGCAAGGGGGTCCATCCATTTTTCATGAAGTTATAATTAACACACCGTCTGCCCCCCGCAGGTTCAACCTTTGGGAACGAGGAGCAGCCGGCGCTGAAGGTGGCACTGCCTTCTAAAGACACACCCAAGGGGGCCGGCCGGGTGGTCCCGCCAGCTTCCTCCAGCGCGACAGCAGCCCGCAGGAGCTTACTTCCAGCGCCAAAATCCACTTCCACACCCGCCGGTAAGACTTTCTGCCTTGGGGAGGCTCGATGGTGGAGTGTCCTTTCTGCATTAATAAAGAGTCTTTTGAAAGTCCCCAAATAACATCAGTTATTTAGATGGGATGATGAGATGATATTTAATAATAATAATACCGCTATTTTCAAGGCATTTTCATGTATAATGTTAATGTGTTTAAATTCTCACAGCTGCCTCTCATTCTCCCCATGATTGGTAACCCTTCGAATCACACAGTTTCGGTTTCAGAAAGCAAGAACCACGCTGTTTTAAGCAGATTGGCATTTGGCTCAAGGATGCGGGTGCTCATGAAATCACTGGAAGGGCTGCAGGAGGAAGCTCCAGCCTGCACCTCCAGGAGTGAGTCCCAAGCCCCACAGGGAACGGCGGGCTCCACAACAGTCTGCGTGCTCTGTGCCCCTGCTGGCCCTAGGCTCGGACCTCCAAAGCTAGGACCCAAGGATGGGTGAGCTGCTCCTGCAGCAGGGTTGGCTCTAGAGCCATGCTGTGCCTGCTGGATTCATGCCAGCAAGAGAAACCGCTGAGCCCTACCCCTCCACACCCACAGAGCTAGCGACTGGACGTGGGGAACTGAGCTGATGCAAAGGTGCACAAGTGCATCTGTTTGCCTGCAGGGATGTCAAGGCATGTTGTTCTTAGCCTGCAGGGGTGTCAAGGCATGTTGTTCTCAGCGTTCCTTCCTCTGCACTGTAAAAGGCACAGTTCCAGGAAGGTGCGATAGATGTTGAGCCTTAATCCACCATGCATAGCTCACTCATGGCAGTATTTATTTTTTCATATTTTTTCTATGCTCATATAACCATATATCAATATATATACACATGCATGCACACATGGGTTTTATGACATTTTAAAAATGAGATTGCATCATACCCATTTTTCTACATGTTGTTTTCCTTATTCAGAGAACATCACAGAAATACCTTCAAGTCAGTGTTGTGGCTCATTCTTCCCAATGCTGCATGGTGTGGGTGTGCACCATGACTTATTCAACTATTCCCTTACTGATGGGCATTCACTCTGTCGCCAGCGTTTGCCACGACAAGCAGTGCTGCAGTAACAGCCTTGAGTGGGCGGCATTCTTTCTATGGGATCAGTTCCCAGAAGTGGGATTGCTTTGTTTGGTTCATTAATAGATAGCACTAGATTCCCTTCCAAAGAGGCTGCAATGTTTTCCACCCATATCCTCACTAGGAGTAGGTACTATCCCTTTCTAACATTTTGGTCCACTTGATGTGAGTAAAGTGTTATCCCAATGTTATCTTTTTTTTTTTTAATATCTCCCTGACCACTAACCAGACTAGCTGGAGCCCCTTGCTCTAATAGCAACTCGACGTTCCCTTTGGTAAGCCTAAAATCGGCTTGTCTAGTTTTGTCCTTCAGGGGAAGGGAAGCTTCTGGGGGCAGTGACTGTCTATTTTGTCCAACACAGTGTCCCCACTGCCTGCCACAGTGCCCGACTCACAGTACGGACTCAACATCGTTTTGTTAATGGTTAAATGAATCAACGAATGAATGAATGTCGCATAGAATTTGAATCTTGCAATTCCAGTTTATTAACAGTTTGGCTTTGGTTTAATTAAAAAATAATTAGGCAAGCCTATGGTAAGTCTAATTACAGCTGTTGACTCAACCCTGTAGACTGGCGTTTCTCAAACTCCAGTGCGTCAGAGTCTCATCGGTGGGATTTGTAAAAATGCAGATTACAAGGCCCCAGCCCCAGAGCTTTGGATTTGGTAGGTTTGCTTTGGGGCCTGAGAATTTGCATTGCTAACGAATTCCCAGGTGAGGCTGCTGTTGCTGGGGGTGTAGAGATGGTGCAACTCCTATGAAAGGGCAGTCGGCAGTATGTATCAAAACCACACGTGCATTCATTCTTTGACATAATGGTCCCGCCCCAGGAGTCTTTCCCAAAGGTAGACTGGCAAAGACACAGTCGTGAAGTGATTCATCGCAGCACTATTTAAAGTAACAAAAGACTGAAAACATCCTAAATCCAAAACGACAGCTGTCCTTATAAGAAAAAGAGAAGAGAGACACACACAAGGACAGGCAGAGAGAACAAACGCCCTGTGATGACAGCGGCAGAGATCCGTCATGCTGCTGCTTACCAAGGAACCAACACCAAGGAGGGCCAGCAACCACCAGAGGTCAGGGGAGAGGCAAGGGACAGATTCACCTTCTGAGCCCCCTAGGAAGAATCAGTCCTACTGACATTGCGATTGGACACTTCTGGCCTCTTGAACTGAGAAAGAATAAACTGTGTTGTCTTAAGCAAAAAAAAAAAAAAAGACTGAAAACAACTCAGATGTCCACTAAGCGGGGACTGGCTGAGTAGTCTGCAACACAGCCATATGATGTGTGGAAAGGTCTCTGTGTACCACTAGAAAGTGATTTATAGGAGACAAATCCTTAAGTATCAAAAGCAAGGTGGAGAAAAGTGTGTAGTAGGCTACCTTCTATCTAAACACTAGGGAAATTTTATATTACATATAAGCTCCTATTAAGAAAAAGCAATAGAAGAATGAGCTGTGTGTGTGTGTGTGTGTGTGTGTGTGTGTGTGTGTGTGTGTGTGTGTTTTAAATGATTACCTGTAGGGGAAAGGAAGGGGGCAGAAGGAGGGAATAGAGGTAGAGGCCAATGACAGATGTTGAATACACCTTGCTTTGTAGATTTGAAGTCACATGAATATTTTACACAATTGTGCATTAACATTAATTTTTTAAAAAATGATATCTAAACATCGAGTGGAGTTAAATAAATGAAAGTAATCATATAGCCTATTGGTGGCATAACCACACAGAGAAGTACATCCTTCATCGTATATACCCTGCGTTCCGAAAAGAATTGCCACAACAATCCAAAAGTGTTTTCAGTAATTACATTGTTGGTGGTAATGTTAGTGTTAGGATTCTGCATCTGCTGTTATTCTTAATGTGCATATTATGGGATAAATGTGATATGGGTATTATGGGATAAAATATGAACTCCTGTAAATTTATCTTTAAAAACAATATTCCCAGCTCTGTTCACTGGAAAGTTAAAAGTAGTGAGCACTCCTAGTGCTCAGACTGTGGTCTCCAAATGCCTTTCCCAGGACAGGAAGGTGGGGGTTCTTGAAGAAACAGCTGTTACGGGTCTAGGACAGGAAAAGTGGATCCCAGAACATCTTGCCATACTAGAAAGCCAAGAAAGAAGGGTTCTATTGACAAGACTCAAGAGTCAACCTTAATAAGCTTCTACTGGGAAAAATATAAAATTTTAAAAAGAGTTTGAATATCAATAAGATTAGTAACTGCAATGGATCAATACTCATCAAAATATATGTGTATCAGTGAGAATACAGGATATAAAAACACCCATAACCAGTCACTTGGAGCATGCTAGGAAACAAACTCATTTTAAAATCTCATAATAAAGGCCGGGCGCGGTGGCTCACGCCTGTAATCCTAGCTCTCTGGGAGGCCGAGGCGGGCGGATTGCTCAAGGTCAGGAGTTCAAAACCAGCCTGAGCAAGAGCGAGACCCCGTCTCTACTATAAATAGAAAGAAACTAATTGGCCAACTGATATATATATATAAAAATTAGCCGGGCATGGTGGCGCATGCCTGTAGTCCCAGCTACTCGGGAGGCTGAGACAGAAGGATCGCTCGAGCCCAGGAGTTTGAGGTTGCTGTGAGCTAGGCTCACGCCACGGCACTCACTCTAGCCTGGGCAACAAAGCAAGACTCTGTCTCAAAAAAAAAAAAAAAAATCTCATAATAAAGAAAAATAGCTGCTCCTCCTATTCACTCTGTACCTCAAAATAGCCAAATAGTTGATGAGAGGGAAGTTTCTCTTTATAAAAGTATTTAGCTAATAAAGAAGATATGAGAATATCACCCTTTTGCAGTTTCTAATCAATCAGTAGATGAAGGCAATGATCAGCAATTGAGAGAGATAACCAGATGTTATGAACCATTCTAATGGAAATATATATGACTTATCTATAAATTAGTCTTAGGGGAAAAAATGAATCTGATGCAGCCTCTAGATTTAACTAATTTACTGGAAATACAAAGCAATTCAGAGAAGCATATTCAATAACACCATGGAGACAGAGCCAGCAAACCCAGACTCTAGGAAACTCTGTAAGACAGACCAACTTATTCAGTCAACAATAGCAATCACAAAAATTGTTTTTCTTTTTAAAAAAAAAAAAAAATTTAAAAAGGTTTATTCTGAGCCAAATCTGAGGACAATGGCCCGGAGCCACGCCCAAGAAGCCTTGAGCAAGTAGACTCGCTGTGACTGGGTTACAGTTTAGTTTTTTATCAACAATAAAAATTGTAAAAATAGAAACTAAAACATCTTTGGGTGTGGGGGAAAGGATGGGGAGTGGGAACCTGTAGATTATGGAAGACTAATATATCAACCAATTGCAGTATGGATTAGATCCTAATTCAAACAAACACAGCAAAAAATTTTTTTTTGAAGATAATTGTGAACATTGGCTATTTGATATTAAGAAATTGTTAATATTTTGAGTTTGATGGTAGTGTTTGTGGTTATATTTTTTTAAAAGAGTTTTAGAAACTCACATATATGAAATATGCGATCTGGGATTTCCTTCAAAATAACCCAGGAGGGTGGTGAGCGGAGTGTGTCTTAGAGAAGATGAAACAGCATTGGCCACACGCTGCTCATTGTTCAAGTTGGGTGATGGACTACAGCAAGTTAACCTGACTAGTCTCTCTACTTTATTATATGGTTAAAGTGCCACATGATAGCATGATAAAATGTGTATCGAGAGTGGTTGTTTTCATGGAAGGAGAGTTAAATGGAAATAAGGTATTTCAAGTGTCAAGAAGAGGGGAAACAGCAGGTGGTGTTTAGGACCATGAAGATTTTATTACTTTCCCAAGCATTTCTGCATAACATAGGCGATTTTTGAAAGCCATGCAATCTTGATAACAATTTTCCTCCACTTTGTATTACTTTAT